CGAATTGAAAGACAACTTTAATACAACTAAAGTTGACATTTTTGCTGTGTTTGTACGGAAGTTGAATTTCTCTCGAATAATCTTTTTCAAAACATCGTCAAGAATTTATTTCTATGAGTTTTTATTTTTAGATCTTAAAAAAAAAAGAAAAATTAAATTAAAATGATAAATGAATAGAATGTTTAGCACAATATAATAATAATGAGACAAGTCCGAAGTGGTATATAAACAATATGATTGCATAACGACAAAATTAAAACGAGTTCCCAAAGGCAAACTAACAATCCACAATATTGTGCTTGATTTTAATAAGAATGAGTAGGCGTATTTTACTTATGGTATCAAATAAATTTAAAAAAGTCAAGTTCTTTTCCTCTTTAAGTAGTTATTTTACGACACAATTTAAATCAAAGACTATTTGAAAATGATTTATTCATACTGGCAAATGACCATTATATTTCCAAAAATTCATATCAAAGTTGTAAATTGCTTTCAAATATAGCGATTCTCGGTAAGTGGTGTGCGAACACTAAATGTAGGGTCAAACATTTTTTGATATAATGATAATAGTAATGTTACAGTATATTTAGTGATATTGTTGATGAACTATGGAATTGCGTCTCTTTACTGCTTCTATTTAGTATCCAATGATTCAGGAATTCTTTATTAGGATTTATATAGAGCAACCGGACAATTGTTTAAGCGCCCCGACGATAAACCTGTTGCAATATCTTCTACAAAAACCTGTAGTTGATTGATTAGTTAGTTACTTGAATAATTGACTAACAACACTGAAATTTGATCAAAACTTTACCATAGCTAAATTAGACTATCACTGAACATAATTGCAAACTAATCCTAACATCTTATCATTTTTAAAGACCAGGATGACTAGCACCGAGCCAGAACGAATCTTCTTCCAAAAATGTTTGGACACGATGTTAAACAATTTTATAAGGTTTTTGATTTGAAACCCAAATTGAACGTAAAACAAACTAAATTTCAACTAGAAGCCAATATAACAGTGTAAGTCGCATCAGTAATCTTACTTCATCAGATACACAGACTTATCAATGTAGAACTTCTTAATATAACTATATTCCTAAAGCACCAACTAAAAAATCAGGGAACACTAGATATCTGTTTTTTACTAAATTTTAAACCGTTCACGAATGTACTTCAGGTCAATACATATGGACACGAAAGCAGGAATTTCTGACCATATATTGAATATAAAATCTTCAGTTACTTTGTGATCCGACTCGATATTTGTGCAGCAACATTGTAAGTTACAATTTGGACATTAGCTTTCTTGACTACATAGGTAATGAACTACCACTAGGTGTTTGAGATATCCTTCTCGAGGGTAGTGACTTTTATAAACTGAGTATAGTTTGAAAATGAACCAAAACCTATAGGTTTTTACCAGGATTGTTTGTATTTATGGAACAGATAAATATTTTCTATAATAATACGATCAAACGTTGGTCAGAACATTTTTCCCGACCTGAGTTCCCATTCACTACAGCATATTATACTTGGGGGTTACTTCCTAGACTCATTTACACGATTTAATTGTTTCCAGCTCATTTTGTTCACATACTTAACTTTAGAATCTCAGTTGTAATGTACCGTTCTTGCTTAAGCTTAATTTAGTGGTAACTCGAAATCTCTACCTTTTACTTCTGTATGCGTATGTCAGAGGCTATCAACTTTGAAACAGGAAATAACTACTTGCATGTATCTAATTCGCATGAGAAGTGGAAGGTGAAACATTGAAGGTGCATAAATTAAACTGGAGTTAACGAACAGGTGTATTGCATCCATAATCCGGTAAAACAATAATGATAAATTGACTGAGTTTACTTTCATCTGAATCATTTCATAATTCCATACTATTCTTAACACTATTGATTAATGTAAGACAACTCTTTTTTCAATAAAATAAAAGCCTTCTAACTACAAATATTTAGTAGTGTGCTTTTATGTAATATATAAGCCAAAAAAGCAAATAAGGGTTTCGAAGGTACCTTGACCCATTAGACCCCACTAAACTACATTGAAATCACTAAAGAATACTGCTTGTCTCTAGATATGAACTCCTGCTAGCGAACACCTACGGACTCACACACAATCACGGTGTGGATTATAATTTGAAAACCACTGAGTGGAAATTAACAATAACAATCAATTTGTCGTATACTATGGCTGTCACTGAGTGAGATTGGTGAGTTACTTTCTTCATTTCGATGGTGGTGATTTATTTGAAATGTAAAATGTAAAATCTGAGTCTTGAATTCAGTCTAATTTGGGCTCATCAGTTCCCTTTGAGGAAGAGTACTTATCTAGGAGGTAAGTAATATCAAATTTTCCCTGATTTTCGTAGCTCACCAGCTGGTCTCTGTCCACGACGAACATCTTATTTGTACGCTAACTAATCTTTACTAGCTGACCAAATAAATAACGTTTACCTTAAAGTAAAATAATTATACAAAATAAGAATAAGAAACCAAACCAAGTGAAAGCCACCATTTCATGTCACTGGTGTTTTTGCAGATTATTTCATAAGTGTAAATAACCTTTATTTGACAGAATAAGTGAACTAACCCTTGAAACAGGTATGAAAATACTAAACAGTATACTGAATATTTTTCTCCTGGTAAGCGTTTATTTAGCGAGTTAGTTTTCTACGTGATGGGGTCGCTGACCCCATTCCCGACCCTCCTCTTTTATCCGGGCTTGGGACCGGCAGCAGCCCCAGAAGGGCTCCAGGTGGAGTTACTAGACAGTATATATATATATATATATATATATATATATATATACTGTTAAAAGTAATTTCTTCGCTCTATCGGTTCCTTGCTTATTTGCCAAATGCCAAAATGGGAATTTTCACGATGTTAAATATTCTTCGGAGTTTCAAATCCTTTTTTCATTTTTCCTTCATATAGTCCAGTGAAACAATATACAGCTATAGAGACAGTGTTATTCACCAACTGTTTAATTTAATTTGTACACATTTTTTACAACAAATCATCTCATTGAAATTATTTTGATAATTGAAATTATTTAAAGTAACTTGATCACATTTCATTCATTACTATGTTCTACCAATCCTACGCAATCAGCCAATTATCATTAAGGAGTATAATTTTTTTATTTTTGCTACATTTGAATGTTCACTTATTGTAGTTTATCTAGAAGTTGTTTCTGTTTTAAATTTGAAACTCAAAAAGGTAAACTGACCATTGAAGTCCCTGTAACTTATGGAAACAAAGTCGTTATTAAACGGAAATAACAGACAAAAATTAAATAAGTCCCCTTAAACAATGCTACAATTACAAAATATTGTTGAATACACTAAAGAATATGGACAGCTATAAATGGTTATTTTGAAACTGTTACAGCAAGAGTCAGTATTGATCAACCAGTCGCAAAATATTGTTTCTTTTTAGTTAGTGCATTTTATTTGCGTCCACCATTTTTTAAATAAAATGTATCTTTTAGAAGATGGCTTCATTAATGAAAAACAATAATGTAGAATAATCCAGTTATTGACCACCAATTCATGTAACAAATGACATAAAGTTACTAATCATGCTTAAGTAGTGACTTTTTATTGCCAAAAGATTAAAATATGACTTATCAATTCCCAGCTGACGTTTGCTCTACTAATTTTGCTTCGGTACTATGTAGATTTTTACTGGTGGCATACTCCTATAGAGGGGTTATCAAATCGAAACATATTTCATATATCCCTGTTTTTCCCAAATAGAGTTTTTAACCCACATTATCTTACTAATTATTGGAAGTATTTTTTAATAAATTCCATGTAATTGACTACCACTATAAACTTCATGTTTTAAAAATGTCTCTTCAGAAATACTTAAATTTAAATGTTTACGGATTTTTAAACTGCTTTTAAATCCTTTATAATTCATCATCGACCTTATAATTCAAAACAGGATATTATCTGGTACAGAGACTCATTCATATCAGTCGAAATTGGTTTCTCTCGGGATTCCTAATGAAAATGTAGTTAGTCCTTTTGATGATTCCAGATAACTTTTACATTGTTTGCCGATGTGCATATTAACATCCCAACAAAATTACTTGACGAGAAAATGTTTGAGTCACGATATCGAAATTTGTTCAAGTGTCTGTATTCCACTGAGGATTCACTGATTGCATAACTTACCTGGGAGTTATTACTAGATAAGCCACTAGTAATTGATTTATTCTTACAATAGAATTTCTACCTTCAGATTCATATGTTTTCATTGCTATCCCAATAAAACACAGTAGACTTTTTGTCAGTTAAGAGAAAGTCCTTCAGTCTTTAATAAATGCATCATTACTAGTAAGACGATTGATTTTTGTTGTCCCTTTTTAGATTAAGTGCCGAAACCGGGAATTCACTATTTGGAATCCAATTTTTTCTAAATAATTGGATACTGACACATAACAGTCATTATTCTATTAGTACAGCCCATTCGAAACTGTTAATTTTTGTTTTACAGCGGATTTCATATTTTAAACAAATCATTCCTAGGTTTAAACGTTGTCTACACCAACTTTTTAAAAACGTCAAATTATTCAGTGTAAAGAATTAGTATGTTTATGTCATGTGAAGAGAAGTATATCCAGGAAAAGTAGAACTTAGTGCTTATTTTATATAAAAGGAAATGGTTTCTTATTGAATCAATCTAAATAAATAGATGTAATAAAATTCTGTGAAACGAAATTTTTCAGTTGGGAAATTACTTAACTATTTTCAGTGTTTGACTTAACAATAGAATCGTCACAAATAGCGCGCCATGTTCAATTCAACACCTAAATAGACTAACTAAAATCTCCTTGAAAGTTAAAAGGAAAATGGTACTATTCTGGTCCATAATTTTGATGAAATTACAAGTAATTGGTTTGTTTAATTCGTAAACAATTGATTTTAAAAAGATTTATGAGATCTACTTTAAGACTTTATTATTTTTCATTAACAGATAATTTCCGTAAATAAGATGTTGCATTTTCAAACTGTATTTTGGGTACAACTTTTAATTATCAGCCTATTCTACACTCACAAAGTAATCATATCAATGCCAATAGCTGAGGAATTGAGTATTGAGTGTACAATTCAATGTGGAGTCGAAGCTGATAAATGTCAGAAAGCACATGCAACAACACAACCACTAATTGAAGCATGTGTACAAAAAATGTTTGAATGTGTCAAACACTGTACTGGACCACCACCTGTTGAAGATTATTATTATTACTAATCGAACAAACCACCAGTTGATTTATCGGTAGTATGTGCTCATTTTATGAAGGTCTCATAATTCAGTAAAACAAAAGTATGGGAAATATATTACAGTAAGAAAATGTTTGTTATCTATTTTAAGTATTAAAAATTATCAATAAACTTCTATGTCAAGTTAATTTTTACTTTCTGTCAAAGTACTCTCGACTGATGTATGCAGCGATAATTTGTGTAGTTTAAAACAGTGTATCCTGATAAATTAGTTCATTAAAGTGAATTTGGTGTTAACAATTCACTTTCACTGAGCTGTCCATTGGATTCTGTGTTTTCCCTCAGATGTCGAGATCTTCGTAATCCAGTCGGCCACCAGAAGAAAGAGGAAGGGGGAGAATAGACAGCATTGTATAACACCAGTCATTACTTGAAATGAATCTATCATCTATACTCCATGCAAGACTTTGCACTGTAGTCTGTCGTATGAGTTCCGGATAATGTTGACAATCATCTCAGCAACTCCATGGTGTCGAGGAGGGTTCCATAATTTTCTCCTATCCACACTGTCAAACGCTTTCTCATGGTCAAGGAAGTTGATGTATAGTGACGAGTTCCATTCAGTTGATTGTTCAACGATGATCCATAGTGTCGCAATTTGGACTGTGCACGATCGATCCTTACGGAATCCAGCCTTTTGATCTCGAAGTTGGGCGTCTACCGCGTCTTTCATCCAGTTCAGCAACACTCTGCTGAAGACTTTTCCTGATACTGACAGTATTGTGATGCCTCTGTAGTTCTCACATTTTCTCAGATCTCTTTACTTTGGAATCTTGATGAAGTGTCTTTCTTTCCATTCAGTCAGCAATTGTTCCTCCTCTCAAATCTTCTTGAATAGAAGGCAATGCATGTTTGTAGTCACTTCAATGTCTGAATTCGTTGCTTCAGCTGGTATATCGTCAGGTCCTGCTGTTTTCCCACTCTTGATTTGTCTGATGGCCATCCTGATTTCTTCGATCGTTGGTGGAGTGACATCTATGAGAAGATCTGTGTGTGCTGCTTCGATGTGCAGTGGATTCAATGGAGCTTGTCTATTCAAAAGTTCCTCGAGGTGTCCGACCAATTTGTTTTTTATTGTTCTTGTGACCTTGATTTGTCTTTCTGGTTTAATATATTTTATTGATAGTTTCTTCCTCGTGTTAAGCAGTTGTCTACTCTCGCAGCTTTTTACTCTGCCATTGTTAGGTCCTCTATGTACTTCTGTTTGTTAGATCTAATGCTGTTCTATGCTTGACGGTTGCTTCTGTGTATCCACTTTGGGCCTTCACGCTCTCTGTTCTTGTTCGGCTGTTGTTGATTGGTGTCCTCATGTTCTTCCTTTCTTGAACCGTGTTCAGCATTTCGATGGAGATCTATTCGTTATGATGATGTTTCCTGCAGCCCAGAACCTCCTGACACGTTGACGTTAGTGCTCCTTCGATCTATTTTCAATTCTCCACCATAGTAGTCTCTTCTTCTTCTTCTTCTTCTTCTTCTTCTACCTCCAGCAGATCTCGTAAGACTTGGAACCTGTTGTTCAGAGTTATCTTGAATTGGTTGAGTTTGTCAGTATGTCGAAGGAAGGCTGCATTGAACCTTTGTAATGCTGTTTCGCCAGTTGTCCAGTGCTTCTTTAACTTCAGTTTCACCTTGTCAACCACAAGCAGGTGGTGATCTAAAGCCACGTCAGCTCATCTTCTGGTTCTCTTGTCTTCCATTAACCTTCTGAATTTTCTAGTGATGCAGATAAAATCCATCTGGTTCTCTGTAGTGTGATGTGATCCGGTGAGTCCCATATGGTTTTCGTGTATGCGTCTGTGGGTGAATAAATTAATATCAATAACCAATTTATTGAAGTCACATGAATTTGCAACTCTCTACATATATCTCTCTCTCCATACTCGTACGTTTCTCCCAGTCAGCTCATGTCGTCCAATGTCATCTTCATATCCGGTGTTGTCCATTCCGACCTCGACCTTCAAGTCTGCCATTAGGATGGTTCCTACAATGCCTACATTAGGCACTTCTCCACGATCGACTAACTGCAGTCTCTCATAAAACTGATCTTTATCGTCTTCACTGCTGTGGTTGGTGGATGCATAGCACTGGATAACATTTAATGTGATCCATTCCTTATTTGTCTTGAGACTTCCATTCTATAAGTGCTCTTTGTGCTTCTGTGGTCAAAATCACAGCAACCCTCTCAGTGTGTGTGCAGCATTTCCTTCTTCATAACCAGAGCACAACAGCATCTCTCCTCAATCTATCCTTTTCTGTCCAGCTTGAGTTCAATGGGCTCCACTGATTCCGACTACTATCAAGTTGTATAATCTCATTTCCACAGCTATTTGACTGATCTTTCCAGTTTCTCACATTGTGCGAACATTCCATGAATTTATATTAATTGTTGCTCTGATTGTTAGAAGTGGTATCGGCCTCGTGACTTTGGCAGAACCTTGGCTTTCATCATGAGGCGTCATAATTGTTCTGACAGAAGACCCTTCAACTTGGATGTCAGAGTTTGAATGGTGTAATTTGTTAATTTTGGTGAGCGTTTTCTTAGCAGTGTTGTGTTCTACAGGATGAGAATGCTGATCCCACTCCTAACGCTTCTCCTTTGTGTGGGCTTGGGACTAACATTAGTTTTATGTGGACTGTAGGCGGAGTTAACATTGAGCTTAATCTATGGAAACTACATTTAAAACATTCCTAGGAATATTGGTATGATAACGATAAAATATTAGTCAATGACAGTTTTTGTAAAACTAGAGAAATTTTACTCCGATAGTGAGGTTTTTCTGTGTCCTCTTTTCAGGTTACGTTTTCCGTAACCATAAATGACCACTCTTAAACCAAATTTTTTCTGAAATTTTAACAGTTTTTATTCACTAGAAATATAAAATCCTGCCATGATCTTTTATACAATGGATTAAATGGAGGTGTTCAGTTACTTTAAAATAATTTTAAGTTCAAGTTGTCTTATCGCAATCCGAAGAACGATAAACATTTAAACTTGGACAGCACCAGTCATCGTGATTTTTCGGGGTAGCACTATGCTGAAAAACGAGTAAAGTTTAAATAAGGTACTTTGAAATGTAACTTAGTGGTTCAAATGATCCTGTTTACCAAGAGACCTGAATGGCCTGAGTCCAATACGTTATGAAATTAATAATACACACTGGTGATTAGTCTCAGGTGGAGAGGTAAAAGAAATTCTGTGTTGTCTCATCATCTTAATGACTTCACTTCAAGATTGAAATTGAGCTTGGTTGAAAAAATCCTTTGCTTAACCTCAAAGATTTGTAACTAAAGTGATTACTAGTAAAGGGTTTAAATTTCTGTCACGCTTTATTTTTAGGTTATACAAAAACACACAACCATTAAAATTTTTATTTCACACAAACAAAAGATCACATCATATGAAGGACAAGCAAAATCTTGATTGATACTTTGAGAATGGTTTGATCACTTAGCTAATTATTTGGTTCTAAAGCAGTTACTATTAATGAGTTTGACACAATAGGTTCACCACACGATGGTCAAGGTAGATATTTGCGAGGCATGGTAATTAACGTTTCAGTTAAAAACTTATTAAAACTGTGTTTTAATTATTCAAATAGGTAAGAAAGAAATTAAATAATCACGTTAGAAAAAAATCTCTGAACAAATGGTAACCCGAAAATAGTGTAAGAATATCACAACTGATAGATAATGCTACAAATCCACTACAGATTTTTAGTAACTTCTGGTTAAAATCAAGATCATCACATGATTTGAAAGCATTTACACCACCATAGCTTTCAAAATCTAACATCTGAATTAGTTATCACATAGCACTAACAGTTCAACGTGTGACTGGACTAACATACCTTACCTTAATTTAATAGATAATATTACATAGTTGTAGAGAAGCTAAAAGTGAATTATTGATCGCCACAATATGATTGCTCAAACTAAATATACATATGTTATTTAAAAAGTGTCTCACCATATTAAATCACAGTACACTACAAAAATCCCAAACACACGTTTTTAGCAACAAGAACGCAGGAACAGTAGTGTTTGTTATTAATTAATTATATAAAACAGTAAGGAATTACAGCACGATCACTTCAGTTTCATTGTTGACATCCACTCAAAGACCAAAACAGATACGCACGTAATTATATGTATATAAAAAGCGTTGATCGATACGTGAGAAAATTTTACCCAAGTCAGCGATGCGAAACACATTTTCTTTATCAAATATCTTCATCTGCAGGCTTGCCTTAAACTCATATACAGTTCATTGAATTGTTATGCCTAATCACAATGTTGATCAGTTTATAATTAAGTAAACTGGTTGACATAAAACGCGATATCGTGTTTTATTTGTTATTGTAATCATATATTTATTTACACACCTGATTAGAAATGTTTATATCTGTTAATCTCTCAAAAATTCCAAGTATGAACAAATTAGCTAACGTGCGACTCATAACGAATTGTATTATTCGCTGATAAAAACGTACCACTGAATACTATGTCAACAACTTTGCAATATTTTGTAGTTACAGTTTTACAATCATAAATGTTTTACTAAGTGACCTATGGTCCTCTTAAGATTTTATATTTGATCAAACAATTTGGCTTAGAAAGTACAACCGTTTTCAAATAAATACAATGATTTTATGAAAACCTAGCTTTAAAATCCGGATTGGTAATGACTGTCTCAAAACCACTGAAAAAACTGTATAGAAGATCACTAAGTATTTTATAACCAATTATACACTAATTATACTTGTTGAGTACATCTAAATATCTACTATGAATAGTTCGCTAATAATCGACCAAACACCTTACCAAAATTATGTTAGTATCCATCTTGTTACCTAATGCATTTGGAATTTCGGAGGAATTATACGACCACCTTGTATCAAAAGTAGTTTTTGTTTTTATGCTAACAATTGTAGTTTTATTGTCACTTGAAGGGAGTCGTATCAGGGTTTTCAACCAAAAATTGTTCAAAATTTTTGTATAGAATAGATAATATAACATGAAATGTTTTCAGGATCTTCATTAATTCTTTATTATACTGTCTTTAATTTCGCTAAACATAAGTCGCATCATAGCAGTCCTGTTGTTTGAATCATGACTGTACAACAGAC